TTATTTAGGAACTAAAATTGGGAAGCAGGTTTGTATGACCCAGTTTCCAGCTTGACTTTTCCCTTCGATTAAATGAATTTGGGGTCCCAAATTCAATTTCCTCTCACAGTAACATAGATTCATTTCAATGAGTCACTAACTTAGAGCATCCTCATTCATCTCAGGAAACTCGGTCATCTCATGATCCTGTTCCTCTAGATCCCTGAATTCAGTGCTCCTAGCTTTCTGTATTCTCTAAAGTAAAGGTCTAATGAACACATACTTCTCAAAAAAGGACATTCATACAGCCAACAAACATATGAGACACAAAGCTCAACATCACTGATCATTAGAGAAATGCCAATCAAAACCACAGGGCTATAACATTTTACACCAGCCAAAATGGTGGTGATTTAAAAGTCAAGAAACAACGGATGCTGGCAAGGTTGTGGAGAAAAAGGAACGCTTTTAAACTATTGGCAGGAATGTGAATTAGTTAAACCATCGTGTAAGACAGTGTGGCAATTCCTCAAAGATTTAGAAGCAGAAATACCATTTGACCCACCTGTCCCGTTACTGGATATATACCCAAAATAATATAAATCATTCTATTATAAAGATGCATGCACAGGTATGTTCATTGCAGCACCATCCACAATAGCAAAGACATGGAATCAACTCAAATAACCGTCAATGATAGATGGGATAAAGAAAGCATGGTATGTATATACCATGGAATACTAGGCAGCCATAAAAAGGAATGAGATCATGTCTTTTGCAGGGACATGGATGATGCTGGGAGCCATCCTCAGCAAACTAATGCAGTAACAGAAAACCAAACACTGCATGCTCTCACTTATAAGTGGGAGCTGAATGATAAGAACACATGAACATTTAGGGAGTTGGGGGAACAACGCCCTGGGGCATGTCAGGGGCATGTGGGGAGGGAGAGCCTCAGGAATAATAGCTAGCAGATGCTGAGCTTAATACCTAGGTGATGGGTTGATCTGTGCAGCAAATCACCATGGCACATACTTACCTATGTAACAAACCTGCACATACTGCACATGTACCCTGGAACTTAAAATAAAACTTAATGAAAAGAAAATTAAAGGTCTACTTCATATGGTACTAAATTTAGGCAATGTCTCACTGTCTTTTCTTTTTTAAAACTCAATATGATATCAAGCTTACATTATTGTTAGAAATCTATTTGGTTCTAAGAAAAAATGTTACTTATCTATCTGCTGTCCACAATCCAAGAAAAAGCTCATCTGCTGGCCCATAATTTCTACTAACATAATTTCTACTAACATAACTCGGTATTATTTCCAAAGAGAATACCAGAAAAATTATGATGAATTTTAGTGTTAGTAAGGGCAATTCAGTATAACTGAGATGTGTTTCTCATTGAATATTGCTTTAACGAATGAGCTTCAAACTGAGAGCTTGGAGTCAAGATTAAGTTTCTGGTTTCCACAGAAAGACAAATAGTTTTTTTTTTTCCAATCAGAGAGAATTTAATGCAGGATATTGGCTAAACAGGTATGAGAGGACCAGAAGACTTAAAGGAACTGGTGAGTGAGACATTATTGGAGTGAGACATTACTTTAAGAGCTGGGAAAAGAAGGATCAGCTTGGGATTAGAACCTACAACATTGGCTGAAGCGTCCTGTGAACTGAGTCTGTGATGTCTTAGGTGAGATATTGCCTGGCTGGTGCTGGAATGTTTTGAGCTTGGAGGAGGCTTTGCCAAGCTGGGACTGACACGTTTGAGGAGAAGGGCTTCTGAACAGCTTTTGGAGCCTCAGTCTCTCAGACAAGGGTCACAGAATTGGAATCCAGAATTCCAAGGAAAGAGAGGTACCTCTAGGCTGGTGCTGGTATTTCTGAAAATATTTTCAGAAATACCAGCACCAGCCTAGAAGCCAATTCTGGCATTAAGGAAGATATCTGGAAACAGAACCAGCTGCTATTAAAACCCAAAAATGCTTCCAAAGGGAAGGGTCATGACTGGGGCAAACCTGGTAGGAAAAATAGGACCTAGGAAGCAGCAAGCCCCCCTATGCCTCCTGCCTCCCACTCTCTCCCTAGCACCCCGTCAGCATACATTGACAGAAAGCTTGCTGGCAACCAAGCATAGTTTGCAGTTCACCCCCAGCATCGCAGAGCAGAGAATAGAGAGATGGTTTGGGGGGTGGGGGATGTAATTATCTGTGGGGTCCTTCCTGCCTGCTGCACAAAGTCAATGGGCTGAGACTATGGCATTGCAGTAAAGGAAGAGTTTAATTTATGTACAGCCTGCCACACTACCTGGGAGGTGGAGTTAATACTCAAGTAGATCTCCCTGAAAATTCTGAGGCCAAGGTTTTTCAGGGATAGTTTGGTGGGCAGGAATCTAGGGAAGGGAGAATGCTGATTGGTTGGGGATGCAATCGTAGGGGTGTGAAAAGCAGTTCTTGGGTGCTGAGTGAGCTCCTAAGTAGGAACCCCCAGAGGAGTTGCTGGTCCCAGTGGGGCCATCTGGTGGCCAGAAAGGCAAAGGCCTGAAAAGACATCTCAAATGGCCAATCTTAGGTTCTACAGTAGTGATGTTTTCGATAAGTGTAATTAAGGAAGCTGCAAATCTTGTGACCTCTGGAACAACGGCAGGCAGTCATTTCCCTCTAATCCTCCTAACCTGGAGACCTTTCATTAGCTTTATAAGGATGGTTTAATTTGGGGGAAGGCCTGTTATTAAACTACAAACTAAATTTCTTCCAAAGTTAGCTTGGCCCATGCCCAGAAATGACCAAGGGAAGTATCAAGGTTAGAAGCAAGATGGAATCAACTGTGTCATATTTCTCTTATGATTTTGCAAAGGTGGTTTCAAAGATAATAGCAAAGTATCCAAATAGCCAGCACAATCCACCATTTTGTGTACTCATCATCCATATTTAACTTTCTACATGTATTTTCAATTCCATGCAATGACTAAAGCAATTACATTCTTCTGCCTTATAAGAAGAAAGCATCTTTTGTACAAATGACCACTTTTGTCACCTCTTTTTGTACAAATGACCACTTTCTTCCCCTCTTTTTTTAAAAAAAAAATCAAGGGCTGGGGTGACAAAAAATCAAAACAGGTTGCTGCTATACCAAGTGGGCAAGAGGAGGAATGTGTTTCTATGTTTCTAAGAAACATGATTCATTTAATAAATTCCACGTGATTTTTTTTGTTATTGTGCTTTCGGCTCTGGGGTACATGTGCACAGCCTGCATCCTGCAGGATTGCTGCATAGGTACATACATGCCATGGTAGTTTGCTGTCTCCATTCCCCCACCATCCCATTGCCTACATCAGGCATTTCTCCCTGTATTATCCTTCCCCATCCTCCCCGCGCCTGCTGTCTCTCCCCACCCCATGCACTCCCCACCCAGCCCAGTGAGTGTTGTTCCCTTCCCTGCGCCCATGTTCTCATTGTTCATCACCCACCTGTGAGTGAGAACATGTGGTGTTTGGTTTTCTGTTCTTGTGTCAGTTTGCTGAGAATGATGGTTTCTAGATTCATCCATGTCTGTACAAAGGACATGAACGTATCATTTTTTATGGCTGCATAGTGTTCCGTGGTGTATATGTGCCACATTTTCATTGTCCAGCCTATCATTGATGGGCATTTGGGTTGGTTCCAGGTCTTTGCTATTGTAAGCAGAGCTGCAACAAACATACGTTTTAAATAATAAAGAAGTAAATTAAATAGGCATCTAAATAAATACTATTTTCTCCTTTGCAGCATTCCCAGCACATAACAGGGTCTCTGATGCCTAGTGATCACCCAATCAGTAGATGGTGAGTAAAGAAATGAATGTGGCACTGCTTTGACTAAAGACATTTTAGGCTGTAACTTTATGATGTTACATTTTCTTAAATGACAGGCAACTGAATTTTTCTCTTTTTATCAAGGCTCTTAAATTGATGTAAATACTGCTTAAGTGTGTTCCCCAGAAATATTTGAATTCTAATAACACAAATTCTCATAATTTATTTCTATATGTAAATACCTAAAATAAAATGAATTATAAATCTTATACTTTACTAACAGGGTAAATTGGGATATAACCACATCACACCTGTGGATGAGGGGTCTGCATTTTTCCAAATGAAGAATCAAGAATCAAAATATTTGATCTCACATTTGAATGTTTTATGGAGGAAAACAAACAAAATGTTTGAAATAAAGACCACTTCTGGAACCAAGATTTGTATATGTCATTTTTTAAAAAATTGAGACGGGATATTGCTCTGATACCCAAGCTGGAGTGCAGTGGTGCAATCATAGCTCACTATGCCTCAAACTTCTGGGCCCAAAAAATCCTCCCACCTTAGCCAGCTGAGTAGCTGGTACCACAATTGTGCACCAGCATGCCCGGCTAATATTTTTATTTTTTGTAGAGATAGGGTCTCCCTATTTTGCCCAGGCTGGTCTTGAACACCTAAGCTCAAGTAATTCTGCCTCAGCCTTCCAAAATGCTAGTATTACAGGCATGAACCACCGTGCCTGGCCTATTTTTCATACTCTTAAGTGACTTCTCTTTTGTGTTTATGTTAATTATCCCAAATGTAAATTTAGTATTTTAGCTGAACTGTTAACACATTCAAGTTAAATAATACTGTATGTAACCTTCAGTTTCGACATCTTCAGCTGGCTGAGACAATTTAATACTTAGCAGCTGCAAAATGAGAATGACAAAACAAAGTCCAAAGAATTCAATTAAGTTATTTTGGGACTAAACATTTTTTTAAAAGGCAGTCAGGCAAAGGAACTAAAAAGGAGAGATAGAGAAGAAAGAAAAGGGGGAATCATAAATACAGACAAGCTAAGAACTTTGGAAGATAGAATTCACAAAATTCCCAGGAACCAGGCATGTACCCTCCCCAAAGGTAGAGCTTGACTTAAGTTTTTTAAAGTTTCTACTCAATAAGAGAATGTGATCTCATACTCTATGTATTCAACTATGTCTATCAGGTGACCTAATTGCTGTTTTCTTTTCTACCTCAATTATTTAACTCTGAACTTTACAAATTAACCATTCATTTGATAGCCTGGTGTTTAAACCATTACGCTCTCTTGTTCTTCCTAATTACTGCCCTTTTTCAAAACACACACTGTACAGTGTGTTATCACTAATCCCATGTGGTTACTGAATTAACATGCAATAACATTTAAAAAGCAGTTTGGTGGCTACTGTATTAGGCAGCACAGATGCAGAACGTTTTCATAATCTCAGCAAATTCACTCTATAAGATTTATTTAATTTCACCAAGAAATGACTTGGCTAAAGACAGAGTAATGAGAGACCAGCAATGAAAAAACTGGGGAAAGAGCTTTCCCTGCAGAAAGAACAGCAAATGTGGATTTTATTTATCCTCACAATCTCTATATGATAGGGATTATCAAGTTTATATTGAAAAGAATTACATTGAAATTTAGAGAATAAAATAATTTGCTAAGGATTTTGAGGTTAGTTAGTATTAAATATAGGACTTGAGTTTATCTAATTCAATGCTTATTATTGTACTAGGATGTGTTTTCCTGGAGAAGAAACACTGAGGCTGATAGGAAGATCTAGACTTTTGTGTGTGGGTGTGGAATGGGGGAAAGGTATGAGAAAGAGCTCTGCTGATTCACAGGCTCAGGCATCTTTTGATTGTGCTATTTACATATTTAGAAATCCCATTAGGGTTCCAAAGAAAGTAAATTTTCAACAGCTGCTGGGGTAGTGATATGAATATGCATAAGTGTTGTCCAAAATGTGAAAATGCTGCAAAAAAAATGTGTGTGGTACATTCTTTTAATGTCATATGAAGCTGAAGGCCAGGGAAATGTTCAAGTCACCGTTCTATTCAGTGTTTCATAATGATTAAAGGTCTTGCACTAAGTTACATGTCAACTTGTAGAGTTTTGTCTGGTAGAGATAAAAATGATTTCTCTCTGGAGATAACCTCGAAGATTGTGCGTATGGCCTTTTGGGGACATTAATCAGTTCTGTATCTGACCCAATAATCTTATCCTTTCATTGCCTATTTATATCTAGTTTCTCAACTACTTTTGGAACTGGTCCTAATATCTTACTGGTGCCCTTAATTAATGAATTTAATAAATTGTTGACATATATTTATCTCTTTTTTTTTGCTCACATGATATTCTATTGGATCATCATATTTTTATAATGTCATTTTTAAAGCATATTTTAAAATTACACATTAATAGTTTTAGCATTTTAAGAAAGAAGCCCATTGGACTCATCTGATGGAACAAAGTAAAGCATGTTTCTTAGGAAGTGCTTCTCATGGACTGTTTAAGCTCACATACATTTTTTCTTACACCCACTAAAAGGTGACTCTATCTTTGCGTCATGTCACTAAACATGGTGTAAATGTGATATCCAGAGGTGTGGAGGGTTGCGTAATAAGTGTCAGAAGTTATGGTAGTCTGTAAAATGACGGTCTTGTTACCCAATGTCATGCCTATGTGACATAGCTGAATTTCTATCCTGCCTATCTTTAAGAAACAAGACACCTGCGATCAAAAGTTTCCTTTGTAACCAAACTAGCTGAGACTCATTAGAATCAAGATAGCTGACCAAACAACTTCAAGAAGACCTCAGGATTCATGATAATCTCATTTCCATGCTTAATGACACTCCCATCAGTGCCATCACAGTTGACAGTCACCATGACAATGACTGAAAGAAGCCATAAAAGGACAAAAAGGGAGGCAGCACTCCAGCTCCAAGAAGTTCACTACCCATTTCCAGAAAAGACACAAATATTATTTCTCTTGCTTTTAATGTCCAACTCCTTCATTAGAGAAGCCCTACATTTTAACCCCCTTACCCCTCACTAGTCGAGAAGCTCATTTATGAGCCATGGCTGCCTTCTCATTTCTATGGCCATCAAATAACACCTACACTGCTTAATACTCACTTGTGGTTTTATGTATTGGCTTTGTTATACCAAGCAGGTGTCACCCATACAAAGTAAACCGCATTTCTTAGGAAGTGCTAAGGTGACCAGCTTTTTTTGGTAACAGTATATTACAGAAAATTCTCAATTATCTAAGTACCAGTTTTATTTTGTTAACTATACGTGAGTTATTTGGGTAAAAGTTATAACTATTATTGATGGTTGAGACTATCTTAGAAGCTATAGTGACAGAGACATATAGCTGTGTATGCAATCTGTTATGCTGGTTTTGTTTTCAAAAGAGAAAAAGAGTACTTTTGTACTCTTTGTATGGTTTGGTATTCCCAGAATAAAGCAGGGTGGTGACAAAGACCAAATGGATAAAGAAGTTGCAGAAGGTACACAGACAGGAAATGTTTCTTTGCATTCATTTATAATAGCTTTAAATAATGAATCTGAAAAGAAGGAATGACATGTGTTAAATTTTGTCAGAGTTGGCTCAGTTATTCATAAGAAATAAAATGTTTGTGAAACTTTGTTACCAAATATGTTACTAATGCAAAGCCAGAATTTAGCTTTTCTGTTTTGCGTAGTTAAAACTGCAAGCTGAGCTCAGAGTTCTTAACAATAAGTAATAAAGGTTATTAATTACCTTTGATGTAATCGACCTAGGTAGCAGAGAGTTCATATCTCACCAGAATATTTCATCTGTTTAGCATTGACTTTACTGTGTCACTGATTATTCAAAGGAAAAAAGAACTAATTTCTCCTTTAAATGAACTAAGGTCCCTTAAAATCACACCCTCTGTTTCTTTGCTCCTTTCCATTGCTGAATGGTATTCTATTGTTTGGCTATGCCACAGTTGTTACCCATCCCCCAGCTCAAGGACATTTGTTTCTAGTTGTTGACAATTACGAATGAAGCCACTATAGACATTCATGTATAGGCTATTTGTAAAAATTGTGTTTCATTTTTCTTGGATAAATAAATATACAGGAGTAAGATTGCTGGCTCGTATGATGTATTAGTTTTCTCCTGTTACCATGACACATGAACACAAGCTTGGTAGTTTAAGTAACATCTATTTATTATTTAGAAGTTCAACATGGATTTCACTGAGCTAAATCAAGGAGTCAGCAGGATGGTGTTTCTTTTTGGAGACTGTAGGAGAGAATCTGTTTCCTTATTTACTGAATTGTGGGCAGAACTCAATTCCTTGCAATTATATTACTGAGATCCCCAACTCCTTTCTGGCTGGTAGCTGACGGTCATTTCCAGCTTCTAGAAGCATTTTTTGGCCTGTGAGGCAATTATTTTGCTAGCCACAGTTTTATAGTGTTAGATTTTATGTTTTGATCTATGATTAGATTTAGATAATTCTGTTCCTGGTATGAAGTATTGATTGAAGTTATTAATTATGGAGATATTGAATTGTTCTAGCATCATTCATTGAAAAGACATCAAATAGATGTGCAACACCAAGTATTGATGAGGATGTGGAGAAATTGAAATTCTTGTGTATATATGGTGGGAATGTAAAATGGTGTAGCCTCTGTAGCAAACAATATGGCAGCTCCTAAAAAGTATAAACATAGAATTACCACATAATCCAGCAATTTCACTGTGAGGCATATACCCCAAAAAACTGAAAGCAGGGACTCAAACATATAGTTGTACACTCATGTTCATAGCAGCATTGTACACAGCCGCCAAAAGGTAGAAACAACCCAGGTGTCCACGAACAGGTGAATAGATAACCCAAATGTGCTGTGTACAAACATTGATATTCAATCCTGAAAAATGAATGACATTCTCATGAAAGTTACAATATGTGTGAACCTCGAAGACACTATGCCAAGTAAAATAAGGCAGACACAAAAGGATAAGTATTTATGATTACACTCATCTGAGATGCCTACAATAGTCTAATTAATAGAGAGAGAAAGTAGAATAGTGGTTAACAGTGGGTAGAGAGATAAGAAGAATAAAGTATTCCTATTTAATAATTGCAGACTTTCAGTTTGGGATGCTGATAAAGTTATGGAGATAGAGGTGATAGTTGCACAACAATGTGCAATAAATACCACTCCACTGTATACTTAGGATTAACATGGGGGGAAAAGTTGCCTTTTATCTCTGTGTTTCATTTTGGATAATTTCTGTCACTAGCTATTAAGCTCTCTGTTTTGTTAACAGTGTCTAATCTGTCTTTAGTATAATGCAATGCATTTTGTATCGTAGACATTGCAGCTTGCAGCAATTTTGGTTTGGCTTTTTTTTCATATCTTTTCTGTCTGGACTTAACTTTTGTAATACATAGAATTCAGTTATAATAACTATTTTAATGTCTGTTAATTTTCACATCGGTCACGATTGAAAGATTTTCCCTCTATTATGAGACATATTTGTCTGCTTCTTTACATGCTTGGTAATTTTTTATTGGATCCCAGAAGTTGTGAATTTTACCTTATTCAGTGCTGGAGGATTTTAAACTCCTATTATTGACCTGTGTTCTGGGACATAAGTTGCTTATAAACAGTTTGATCCTTTCAGATATTGGTTTTAATAACTGTTGGGCAGGAACAGGACAATGCTGAGTCTAAAGCCAAATTTTTTCCATTAGTGAGGCAAGACCCTTCTGCAAGCTCAATGCACTGTCCCGTGAATCATGGGATTTCCATTCTGGCTGTCGTGAACAGGCACTGACGACCCTGTGTAAGTGCAATGCTCTATTACCCTTCCGAATATTCTTCCTAATGGCTTATTTCCCTGGCCACAAGTCCTTTTCCCATATGCATTTGCTGATCAGATGAACACTCAATGGGAATTCTCCTCAGATTTCTGGACTTCTGCCCTTCTGGCTCTTTCTTCCTCCACATTCTTTTCTGTAACACCCAGACACCATGGTCTTCTTTGTCTCTCAGCTCTCTCTCCTTAACTCAGTGTGCCTGATGGGCTTTCTCTTCCTACACCACAGCCTGGAAGCTTTCTCAAAACACAAATCTAAAGGACTCATAGATTTTCTTTTGTTTCTTGTCTCTCAGAATTAATGGCCTTTTCACCTGCTGTCCGAGGTGCTGAAAACATTTACTACATTCTGACCTGAAATGCAAGTCTTGATAAATTCTTTTTAAATTCTTGAATGTGTAGCCGAAGACCCAGCAAATCTCCAGCCACTGTTTCTTAAAGTTTATTAGCTTGTTTTTTTTTTAAATTTATTTATTCATACTCCCTCTCTTCCCCTCACCTTTCTTCTTTTCTTTATTTAGTTAGTGTCAGCTAATACTGGCTGAAACAATTATTTCTAAACAGGTCAAGATTCTGCTGTTACAAAATACCCTCTGAAAATAGCTGTCTGGAAAACACAAATGCTGTGAAGCTAATAGTGGGAAATTGCAATGTAAAGTTTTATGTCTGCCACATCAATTTGCCAATTAAGTGAGGTAGATTTTTAACATTTCTGGTTAAAACAAAGTGAAATTTCTAATTATTTTATTGATCAAACAATTAATGGATAATCAAACAACAATTTTCAGAACAGAAAAAACTACCAGAAACCAGAAAACTGATTCATTTTCATTAGTAAAACTAGAGGTTGTAGACAGCTATTTTATTTTATTTTCAATTTATCCTAAAGCACGAAACTCTGAATAATAACAAATTTATATGTTTAGCTTTCTATTCACTTATTTAATTAGGGAAGATAAAAACCTCACAATCAAATGAATTTAATTAGAGATTCTAAAACAAATGGCATTTTACCAAATTTATAATTCATTTCCTTCCCCAGGACTTGATCCTGTTAAATTCCCAGAGATGAAACATGGCAGAATTATTTAGCATAGTTTTTATCTTTTCTGAAAAGAAAAATCAGTCATGTTTAATTCACAAATTTAAACCTCTTGTGATTCTAGCTGACAAGAGAAATAAATGCATGCTTTCTGGGAAGGTATCACAGAAAAACCATATGAGACTTCAAGGGAAGTGTCCCCTGAGTCCATGGTTGACAGCAGGCATCTGATACTTGACGCATCATCTGGGAGGCTCAGGTTCACCTGAGGACTATTTCTCTCAACTACTGTTCACATTTTAAAGCTCATATATTATAGTGCATGGGAAAAAGGAAAAGGATTGTATAGATCAATATAAACAAAATAAGGCAATGGAATTTTTTCCTTTCATATAAGAGAAATGAAATTGAAAAAGATGCCTACTGATATGGTTTGGGTGTGTCCCCACCCAAACCTCATCTTGAATTCCTATGTGTTGTAGGAATGACCCAGTGGGAGGTAATTGAATCAAGGAGACAGGTCTTTCCCTGTGCTGTTCATGTGATAGCGAATAAGTCTCATGAGATCTGATGGTTTTAAAAAGAGGAGTTTCCCCTGTACAAGGTATTTATCTCTTTTCCTGCTGCCATCCATTTAAGACATGACTTGCTCCTCCTTGCCTTCCACCATAATTATGAGGCCTCTCCAGCCCTGTGAACCTGTAAGTCCAATGAACTTCTTTCTTTCATAAATTTCCCTACCTTGGGTATATCTTTATCAGGAGTGGATAAAGTAGACTAACACACCTACAAACTCTTAAAAGGGGCCCCTTTTGACGGTGTCAATAACCTTAGTTTTGATTTGAAATCCAAACTTAAATCTGCATGAAAGCATAACTCCTCTCTGGTGGTGAACTTATTTCTTATCATTGATTCAATTATGGGAAAGTGTGCATTTGGTGTACTGTCTTGTACACAATACATAAAGGTTGGACAATAATTCTCAGTTTATGCATATTAGCTTTTTTCTCAAAAATAAAAGTTAAAAAATATTTTTTTTAATTTCAAAATAATTTTAGATTTGCAGGAAAGCTGCAAAGATAGTACCATGAGTTTCCGTATACTGCACACCCAGTTTCACCTGTTATTGACATCTTTCATTAGTCTGATACATTTATCACAATTAATAAGCCCATATTGATATATTATTATAATTAATGATTATTAGTGATCAGTATTACTACTTTAACTGAATATTTATAGTTATTTTGAAATACATTTTGCATACTATATTAAATATCTATTTAATGCTCTTTAAAAATATGGGATCCTATTTTCCATGTTTAACACATTAAGCCCCAGAAATATTAGCCATCTCTCTGTGTGACATTCTGAGGACGAAAATTGCATTAGGTAACGTGGTGAGGTTTGGGTGGTCATGCCAGATCTCTCTAATGTCCCAAATCTCCCTGATACTTGTTTCCACTCCTGTTTCTTTCTTCTTTCTTTCAGGTCAAGGCCTGAAATAGAAAGCGCTGAAAGTAGAAAGGAGCAGAAAGGACTCGATGCCCCTTTCACCATGCAGTCAGCCAAAGTACTATATTCTTTTTCTGGAGAAAAGTTAGAAATAGAAGAAAAGAAGAAAAAGGTGTCTTTTCATAGGTTTGAGGTAATATGTGCAGTTTTTTTCACCACTCCACCCCCAACCCATTTAATGATTCTCTGGGCTGATGGAAGGGAGGGAATCAGCGGCCAATGGGAATTGTGTAGACCTCGTAGAGCCATGAAAAACACAGCCCTGAAGTGGACGCAGGGAGTAAGGAGAGCTGGAACAGACAAAAATGTTTGTGCAATCTGAGAATGGAGGTTGTTTATGTGTGTAACGCCTTGGATGGAGTCCTGTGGAGGTGAACAGTTTACAGAGGAATGGCATGGGTTTCTATTCGGAAAGATGGACCAAAAGGAAGCCTGAAATATTCCACCTTAATCCAGCAGTGTACAAGAGCAATAGAATAGTTTTCAGAGCTTAAAGTAGAGTTCAATTAAGTAAGAGTCAGAAAGATGGACAGAATTTCCCGGTTGCAGTGTGGCATGGAATTAGGAAATCACCCTCTCTCCAGGGAGGCAGAAAGAGGCACAGATCCTCAAGAGATCCTAAGTCCACCCCAGAATGATAAATCACCCAACCCTTAGAGAAGCCAATGGCTGTCTCAGTAGATGCCAGCTGGGCGCTATAACATCAAGGACAAGAAACCCTCCCACTTCTGCCTCTGCGTGGTCCCAGCGTCGGTGTTGGCACCGCCACCAGCCAAGATTCAATCCTTGAGGGGAAAAAATGTTATTTCCCATAGGGCTAAGATTACATTTAGAAACTCAGTTGTAAAATTGAAGACTGAGTTTTATTTTACTTCGTATGCTTAAGTTAGAACTGCACTGAATATTTTATTTACAAATAAAAGTTGAGGATTTATTTTTTGGTGTAGCTGTGATTATCTATATTCAGACCCCAAGTTCCCTTAATTGTTCATTTGTTTAAGTTATCTTTTATCACTTTCAAAGGCATGGGGTATTTAAAGAAGTGTTTAAATTTATCGTGGAACCATTTTTAGATGTTAAAATGTTCTGATTGCTAATGTGATTTCTTTCTGTGTTTAAACAACAGCTGTGCATGACTGTCCCATATTTTCCCTTTGTACTTTAATGATTTGAGCTACATCTTAAGAAAACGTTGGTACAATTCTTGCTGGCATATGTTATTGATATAAGCAACTGTAACATGAAGGTCTGAAATTAAGTTAACTTGCTTTCAACATCTCTATACCTGTAAATACTGAAACCAACAATTAAATGACCCATGTTACAGTCTCAGAGAAGCACCCAGGTTTGTGAAAATAAGTGGATAAAAATGACACTTTAAATCAATGAAATACAGACATTTTTCTATGAGTCCTCATGAATACATTCTGAAATGACATAAAGACTGTGGACAAATTTTATTAATCCTGTAATTTTTTTCAATTTTCTATCAGTTGTACTGTGACATAGCAACTGGAAGCACCTTGCACTCACAGGACCTTGAAAGAAGCCAGTGATAATAGTAGCAAACAATAATTGAGCACTTTGTACCAGTGTGATAACATTGTCATGTATCAAAATATTTAATCATCACAACAAATTGGTAGGTTTTTAATGTCCATCTTTATTGATTCTGTCCTAAATGCACCCACAAGGTTTTTGGATCAGAGACAGATTTTTTTAATGACTTACAGCAAATAACAAGTGTGTGATTCCCCTATGCTTCCATTCTTATCCCAGGGCTATTGTGATTAAAGCCAGGTCAAATATCTTAAACACACAAAGTCCATATAGTAAGCAAGGAATTAAGAAAATGAATTGTATCTGCTTGTAATAGGGAGTAAGGCAACTATCTCTCTTCTCCCTTCTGAGAAAGTCTGTTTTGGAAACATGGTAAGTCCTATGTCTTCAGTTTCATAATTAAGAGATATCTCCATTGTCCTGAGCCTCAGCACTGCTCCCCTGCCACCTCCCTAGAAATGTTCACGTATAACTCAGGGATTGGGCGAGCATCTGGACTTCTCACTATCTTTACAGTTGTAGATTGCCTCTAAAGACTGGCTTTCAATTCAGATCTCAAGTTTCAGTAAAATCTGTGTAGAAAGGCATAGTTGTGCCAAAACATAAAAGTATTTTCTCTACAAATTTACACACACACACACACACACACACACACACACACACACACACACCCCTATGTTATTTTACAGATGTGGCAACTAAATTTAAAGGGCTTAACCTGTCCAGGGTCAAATTTTTAGTTATCAGTAAAGCCAGGATTTTGCCCCCCATGTAACTTGAAAGCCCACATTCCTAAACATTACCGTGCCTTGCTTATTTACTGGTTAGGTAAATGACTGTGTGCATAAAGCAGCCATTCTAGTTGCCACAAATCAACTTTTACTTCATATTCATTTTCAGACTTCTCTCACGATTATGTAGAGAAGCATTTGTAAACTATGGAGGAGTTTAATATAATTTTTTCATTCCAGAGAATAACTCCAGATTAGGAAGGAAATAAAAAAAAATTGAGTGAAGGCAAATAAGAATCAGTTAAAAAAAAAAAAAAAAAAGGAAACCTCAAGTAGACAGTTCAGAGAATCTACATACAGGCAATAGAGCTAGAAAAATAGTTTCTGATCCCTCAAATGGGGCATGTAATTTAATAGGTCAAATGGCATGCACCGTGTCTAACATTTTGTTTCATATAGCATAGATGTCCATAATTAACATATGAATGAGAAAATGAATGCAAAAGTGGGGCTTGCATACTCAATGCAAATGCTTTACCTATTTAATTTTTAAATGTCCTCAAAGAAAATTTTAAGCAAAAAGGAGCAAAGTAGATAAAAAAATAGTAAGTTTAATAAATTGTTTTTATATAATAGAAGATATATAAAAATTTAGCCATCTTATGATGTTTTATGCAGCTCTATCAGAGAAGACTAATATTTTCATAGTTTGCCTTAGAAAACAATGCTGTCAGTCAAAAGACTTTTGACTGACAGCATTGTTTTTTAAGGCTAAAAAGTTGGGAAAAAAATATTTAACTGATACCAGAGGTAGATCCTGGTTTTATGGGGCCTGCAGCTTAATTTGTTTATACAACCAACTTTAAGAAAAAAAATTAACAATGAAAACACAGGTAAAGGGACTTGAAAGGAACCTGAATAAGTGTGTTGCCCGCAAGTTTTGACACATTAACCTTTGACTCAGACACGCACAGTTTAGAGATTATGTTTTATTCTAACAAAATATTTTAAAAATAGTTCTAATAGTAAATTTAATAGTAACGGCTCTAGAAGTATCTTAATTTTCTAGGCAAATAGCACTTTAACCTACATTTGTCTGCAATCCATATTGCTCTAAAATACCTAACATTCAGGTTTAAGGAACTGCAATTTCCAACCTGCTGACATGGGTAAAACCTCCAATATATCACCTGTGAATGACAGCACCAGTGGAAAAGTGATTTGGCATTTTGGCTTGCCAGTGTGTGAAATACCATGTAGCAAAACAAAACTGTATTGCCAAAGATATCAGTTACATCATAATTTATTAAACATTTTAAAATAGTTTACACTGTTTACTTTCTATAAATAAAAAATGTATCTGTGAGGGGCAAGGGGAAGTTGAGGCTTATTTCATTGTGTTTTTTTCCACATATTTATATTCTAGTTTTAAATTTTTACTTCTTTTTTAACATTTTCTAAATTTTCTGCCATAAGAAAGCATCAATTTTACAAGTAGAAAATTAATTTTGTTATTGAAACAACAGTGAAATGTGAGATAAATGTTAAAATCCATTAACTCAAAATAAATGAAGAATTATTCGGGTGAAATGGTATAACTAGACTATGTGGTCAAATCAACCATGAATTACATTCTCAAAGAAAAAATGTGATATTGTGTCTTCTGCACAAGTAAAATCTTGGTAGCATATGTGAAAGCTACCAATGTGAAAGCATTTATATATGTGAACGCATATCCCATTCTTGGTGTGAAAAAAAATTACAACTATCCTATTTTTATGGCTTCTTTTTGTAATAAACATATGACTTCTTCGTAACTGACTAAATCATGTAAATTCACTGTATGTTAGAAGAGATTAAATCAGAATCTGTTCTGCCTTCATTGCATAAACTTCCAGTTATATGATGCTACAGAAAAGATTTCCGATCAGTTGTGTGTTTGAAAATATATTTTTTACACCATATAACCTCAATTTAGTACTGGCAATCTGTTACATGAGTTTCTAGCTTATATGGAGGTTTGATTTGTCAAGAAATATAATCACAGGTTTGTCTTCTTTGTTTTTTGTTTTGAGGCAGAGTCTCACTTTGTTGTCCAGGTTGAAACGCAATGGCTGAATCTTGGCTCACTGCAACCTCCGCCTCCGGGGTTCAAGCGATTCTCCTGCCTCAGCCTCCTGAGTAGCTGGGATTACAGACATCTGCCACCACGCCTAGGTAACTTTTTTTATTTTTAGTAGAGATGGGGTTTCACCATGTTGGCCAGGCTGGTCTTGAACTCCTGATCTCAGATGATTCACCTGACTTGGACACCCAAAGTGGATTACAGATGTGAGCCACTGCACCTGGCCACAGGTTGTTTTTATATTCTCTATATCCTAGTATATATAGGATATAACTGCCAAAGAAGACATTTGGGGAACTAAACATTGAATTTTCATATCATAGTTACATTGCTTCATCTAAAATCCTAACAAGTTATTAATGTTTACATTTTAGTAAAAGTAGCCAGATGTAAACCACTAAAGTGGGCAAACACGAAATGTTAGTTTTTGCTGGGCGCAGTGGCTCATGCCTGTAATCCCAGCACTTTGGGAGGCTGAGGTGGGTGGATCACGAGGTCAGGAGTTCGAGATCTGCCTGGCCAACGTGGTGAAACCCCGTTATAAAAAAAAATTAATATAATAAAAAAAAGAAATGTTAGTTTTTAAAAATAAAAAATAAAAACAGAATGGAAGAAGATGTTTGAAAACTATAGCATTTTAGAAATAGTAAATATTGAAATACAAACAAAGTTTGAAAATATAGTCTATATGGTTGAAGAACAATAATAAAGCACTATCAAGATATTATCTCGTTTTTCACCCTATTTGTTAAATGTATTATAAAAATGTGAAATCATGTCAAAGTTTATTAGGAAAATTTAAAAATGGAATGATAAAAATTTGACAATGTCACTTTAACCCCTTTCACAAGTTAAAAATATAATAAATATTTTAAAACTAAGTGTTAAAAAATGTAGTGATGGTAATATGCCAGTTAGGATGGTGATCATTAGAAAGTCTGGAAACAATAGATAATGACAAGGATGTGGAGAAATAGGAACACTTTTACACTGTTGATGAGAGTGTAATTTAGTTCAACCATTGTGGAAGACAGTGTGGCGATTCCCCAGGATCTAGAACCAGAAATACCATTTGACCCAGCAATCCCATTACTGTGTATACACCCAGAGGATTATAAATCATTCTACTATAAAGACACATGCACACATATGTTTCTTGCAGCACTATTTACAATAGCAAAAACTTGGAACCAATCCAAGTGCCCATCAATGATAGACTGGAAAAGAAAATATGGCTCATATTACACCATGGAATACTATGCAGCTATAAAAAAGAATGAGTTCATGTCCTTTGCAGGACATGGATGAAGCTTGAAACCATCATTCTCAGCAAACTAACACAGGAACAGAAAACCAAACACCAAATGTTCTCACTCATAAGGGGGAGTTGAATAATGAGAACAAATGGGGAACATCACACACTGGGGCCTGTTGGTGGGGTTGGAGGCAAGGGGAAGGGATAACATCAGGAGAAATACCTAATGCATGTGGGGCTTAAAACCTAGATGACATATTGATAGTTGCAGCAAACCACCATGATACATATATACTTATGTAGCAAATCTGCAGGTCTGTATATGTATCCCAGAACTTAAAGTACAATTTAAAAAAGGAGCGATAATAAACTGTTAATTTCTATAATATGTATTCTTTAAAAATGACAGGAAAAAAATTAAAAATCAGATTGAAAATCTAAATCTGTACAGCCCACTATGACAATTGGTGAACATAAGTGGCCACTTAAAACATTTAATATAATATTTCTACTTATTTTGTAAATTCTATTGAGTATTGCTCCTCTATATTGCCAGTTTACAGAAGAGCAAATACAAATGCCAAACAAGTAAACAAAAATGTCCAATTTCACTAGTAGTTTGTGAAACAGTGTTTACAGCAACAAAGAGTATTACTTTGTAATCACTGAATTGGCAAAACTTGAAAACAGGATTATCTTCTTTTCATTCACATTTATGCACATATATGTATCATATTAATGTATCCTCATTCTTACTATAGAACTAAAAATCATAGTGCTATTTTTAAATGTAAAACAACAATCTGTATTTAATAACATTTTATAATGCATGTGCATGTATGCATTAGATATAAATCTGTTGACAGTGATGTCATTCCTGGAAACATCTCCTATAGGGATTAAGGTCCATGTACAAAGCGCAATATATATGGTATTTATGAAAGTCTTGGTTGTAATAGCAAATATAATAGAAAGTCAAAGGAAAAGAAAAAATCACCCCCCAAATAAAACCCTCCAGAAACAATATAATTGCCTATCAATAGAGGGACACTTAAATATATTGCCATTACATTATATTCACATCTTGGAATACTCTGCAGCCATTAATTACAAGAAATTAAGTATTACAAGTTGACTTGAAGTGATGTCAACAGGAAAGTATGAGTGGAAAGTGAAAGACTAAGAAAAGTATGCATGATAAAAACCCATTTAATACAAAGCAAAATGACAAGTATATATGCACATATACACAC